TTATTAATTCTGTTATGACAGGGTCTTTCAGCATTTGTGAGGCCAGAAAAACCCCAAAGAGCTGGTACAGGCTACTTTTAAAGGAAAAAGCCACAGAAGCAAGGTGGGTGTCTGGGGGTTGTTCTTTGATTATTATGTTTGGCTTATTCAAAAGGGCTATTACCAATAATTGGCTGGAGAGCGGTTGCCAGGTAAGATAAAACATCTAAGGGTCACCTTGACCTCTTTTGCAGGGGCTGAATCAAATCAAGTCTCCAGGAGGCCTCCCACCTGGCACATACATCAGGAACTGGGTCAACATCTTAAAGGTTATCTGCCCCAGTTTCTGGAGAACATTCATAAAGACTAACTGTTAGATTCCTGGTTGGGGGGGGGGCACTACAGCTGAGAGGCCTCAGAGTTGTCAGAAATGGCTTTAGAGTTGTTTTAAGAGTTCTACTACAACCACGACACCCCAGTGGGAGAATTCTAATATTTCAATGCTGGACACTAAGCGGAGACAGCTAGTGAGGCCGAGTCTTACGGAGAAAGACTAGTTTCCAAACACCTGCTGGGAACAGAGAAACAGGAGGGTACCAACTCAGTCTCCTTTGCCACAAATCCTAAAATTGTAACTCTAACCCCATCCACTCCCTGCCCCACGGAGCACTGACGTGAGGACGCTGACTGCCTGTTTGTCCTGAAATACACACAACATGCTGCCATACAGAATGCAGAGGTGAGAGGTCCTAAGGCCCTGCTGGGGTGGGGTGGGGTGGCAGTTTCTTTTCTGAGCCATCACTGAAAACGCTTGGCTACACCACTATCACCGTTACATCACTGCGCTGGGCTGTCACTCAGTGACAGAATATTCTGGTTAAAACTGCCAGGTAAAAGGGGGAGAATAAATCACATCTTTCTCCAGCAAGTGCTTTCAGTCAGTATAAGAGAATATATGTTTATTTAAACTATCTACAAGAATTAGGGCTATCAGAAGGATTTTAATCCCAAACTAGAAAACAGGAATAAATCAAAGGAGGAAGAGCTCCAGACCCAACTGCCTGGGATAACCTGCCAAAATGGCAGCCACTAATAATGTGGCCATTTAAATTTAAATAAAACAAAATTTAAAATCCACATCCTGCTGGGTGTGATGGCCTGCATGTCTAATCCCAGAATTCAGGAAGCAGAGGCAGGAAAATCACTGCAAGTTCAAGGCCTGTTCTGTACAGTGAGCTCCAGGTCAGCAATCTAAGTCTGTCTCAAAAAAAGCAAAATTAATTAATTTAAAAATAAAAAAATCTAGTTACTGCCAGGCACAGTGGCTATGCCTACAATGCCAGCAAGCAGGGAGCTGAGGCAGGACAATCACTGCACATTTGAGGCCAGCCTGGCCACATTGTGAGACCTTATCTCCTTACACTGAGCAGCAGTCTCTTCGCTACAGAAGCTCTACTGGATCACCATATGGAGCTTTGACTCAGCACAGAGTGCCAGGCGCATCTCATCACCAGTATACAGAGAATGGCCAACAAAACAAAACAAAAACAGGCTGTGCTCAACCCTGTCATCAGCCAGCACCTCCTTCAGGTTACTTCACACAGCTACCCCAGACTCGGACATGCCACCTACTACCTTCCCAGTCTCACCGCTCAACTATGACCAAGCACTCACTGGACCACTCAGAGTGCCAGGACTCACTCATCCCAAGATGTGTCTAATGCCAGCCCCTGCTGCTCTTACACCAGCCTTCAGTACTGAAGCTAACTTCCTCACAGGCTGAGTCATGAGAGGCTGGCTGCAGCCCTGCAGCTACTGCTGCTGTAGCCATGCCCAGCATAAATACTGTGGGAGCACACAATCCCTAACATCTTCATGCACAACCACAGTTAACCACATAGAACGATTTCCAGGACAACCAGGGCTACACAGTGACCCCCCCAAAAAACAAACAAATACAAAGCAAAAAAAAAAAATCAAGAATAAAATTTATCAAAGACCACAGACAGGAACTCCTGCTTCACTGGGGGAAAAGAAAGACTAATTTATTTTGGAAAATGTTATAAAACAGGTAACTTACTTGGGGATGTAAAGTAAAGCAATGTTTGCTGGGAGTCATGACAGTCAAAGAAAAACTCAGAGGCAGTAGACTGGCCCCAAACGTCTATTATCAGTACGCCAACAGCTGGTTATGCTTGGGGCTGCTGAGTCACTCCCACCAAACTTTATGAGCCTGACCAAAAACTATTATGTCCTCATCGGTAGCAGGGCATGCTTCCTCCCGGTAATGAGACTAGCAGAAGGGCTGCTCTCTAGTTCCCATCTATCTACCCCTGAGAAAGCCATGTGAGAGAGCTGTCAGTTTTCTCACGGTACAAGTGCCATCTCTGGGGCCTTTGAGTTGTCCTCTCCTTTGGGTAGTAATGAGTTAAGAATGAGCTCTACGAATCCTCCATTTTCGTTGTTCTTGGTTGTTATTAGATAACTAGAAGCAGCTTTCAATCGCCTTATTAGTAAGGCGCCCTGTAACTGATCAGATTCTCTCCTTTCCACCTAGGTAAAGAAAACTGTTGGACATCTATTACCCCAAGGATGGCGGACTCCATCACTTTCCTTATTTCTCTTCTGTCCTATCTTGCTGGTCCTCTGGAGAACCTAGGCAGATGGAATCAGAGTACAGAAACTGCCTCTCAAATGGTTTTGTGTGTCTGTTTGTTTATTTGTTTGTTTGTTTGTTTTGAGACGAGGTCTCACTATGTAGCCTGGCTGGCCTGGACATCACGTTGGCCTCAAATGCAGATTATCTGTCTTATGAGTGCTGGCTGGGATTAAAAGCAAGTGTAACTACACCTCATGTCATGTGTTTCTTTAAATGAGTTTACTTCTTGCTGTGGGGCATCTCTCCCCACGATTCATACGTAAAAATTAGGGATGTGTGGTAAGTCAGGCTTTCTTACCACACACATGCCCACCCTTCTACAACCTGCACAGTCGACTGTCAAAGTCTGAAAAAAGTCTGAGCTCAGCTCTTTATCTTTTAACTGAGGGACCAGATTCAGAGACAGGAACTGCCTTGGAGATAAAGACACTGTAGCTGGCCAAGCTAGCTCATGGGTGAAGAGAAAAGTAGGCAAGAAAGATCTGTCCTCACTAAAGGGCTTATTTTAAAGAAGTCACCAGAAGATAGAAACACACTACGACTCCTGTAAATTAGATATATAAAAGAACTTACAGTCAGTAACTCAGATTATTAGCTTACAGCACTATATAAAAAAATCTACATTCAGTACAAACTCAGACCACTAACTTACAGCACTATATTAAAGTATCTACAGTCAGTACAAACTCAGATTACTAGTTTACAGAACTATAGAAAAGAATCTAGCTGGGCGGTGGTGGCGCATGCCTTTCATCCCAGCAGAGGCGGAGGCAGGCGGATCTCTGAGTTCAAGGCCAGCCTGGTCTACAAGAGCTAGTTCCAGGACAGGCTCCAAAGCCACAGAGAAACCCTGTCTCAAAAACCAAAAACAAACAAACAAACAAATAAATAAATAAAAAATCTATTCCTGGTAGAAAACGCTGGGGTTTGTCAGGTGAGGGAGACTTTCCAAGAGAATCTAAATAATGGCAGTCAGCTCAGGCTTACTAATCCTAAAGAGGTGACTGTAGCTGGACCATAAATCATCTTCAATAATTGGCAAGATTATGACCTCATGCCATCTGCACAATCAGTAAGATTAAACCTTTAGGTACTGCATCAATGCCAAAGACCAGATGATAATTTTGATAGGCACCTTGTAATTTCCAGTTTAGCTTGAACATCTTGTTCACACAAGTACAGACTTTCTGCCACAATTTCTACATAAACAAAATCAACAATTCAATTCCGTCTAGGGACCTCTAGATTTTCAACACTGGACCGAATATGCGCAGGATGTTGGTGAGTTCAATCCCAAGAAATAACTATTTCAAGGAGAAGTCTTGGAAAACAGTGATTACATTCACAACCAATGAATGCATGTAATAAGATACAGGGCTTGGGGGAGATGCTCAAGACTGAAAAATAGTTGTTGCTGGTGCAGGGGACTGAGGTCTGGTTCCTAGCATCCACATGTTGGCTCACATCCAACTACAGCCCTAGGTCCAGGAGATCCGATGCCCTCCTCTTGTTTCTATGGACACGCGTGGTCTATGTATGTACACGCAAGCAAAACACCCATACATCTAAAAATAAATAAAATCTTTTAAAAGAGAAAATAAAAAAGCAATGCTATGATGCACCTGAAACTACTATGGAATAAAGAGACGTGAATCTGGATAAACTTAAATAATTAAACGACGCTCTCTGAGTCTATTCTTCATGAGAAAAACCAGAAAGTAAAACTTATACAGGTCGTCGAGCTCCGTAGTTAGAGGTGACTTTCTAATAAGAAATAATGCGGGCCCTCTTCATTCTGAGGCAGGGCATCCCAACTTACTTCTTCCCACCTTCTTGAGAAGGGAAAAAGAAACCTCCTCTGCGTGGGGGCCTAAAGCTCTCAGAGGCCGCCTGGGGCCTGAGGCTACGCTCAGGGGAGAGGCAAACGAGCTTTAACTCGCAATGTTTTCCACCTCTCGCCTCAAAGCCAAACGGCTCCTCAGCCAGACAGTTTAGAATGCTGCCTGTTAATGTCACAACCGAGAGTGGGTCACGACCCTCCCGGGTCCATCTGCCCTTCTGGGTTAACAACAGCTCAGGAGACAGAGCTGCGAACGGCCCTAAGCCCTCCCCCATCTGCAGGGCTAAGCCCAACCCCCGCCTTTCCCCTGACCTTGGGGCGCCAGCATCTCCCCGCCCCGTCGCGTCCCGTCCCCCTCGGAGGCGCCTTCTTGGGGGGCTGGCCTCTTCAAGCTCAGTTAGTCCTTACCCCCACCCCCCGCCGCCACCACCGCCCGCCTAAATTTAGGACAGGAAAGCTTTAGGTCCACCGTCTGTCTTATAGAACCGAACAAACCTCATTCCAAAGTGGAAAGGGCAGAAGTCGAAGAAAACCAGAAAAAGACGGAGGAGGAGTAGACCTGGATTCCAGAGAGTCACCTCTCTGGCTCCCCGCAGGGTCCAGGTGTCAGAGGCGGCGCAACCTTCTCCCCGCCTCCTCCGACCGCAGAGCGACGCAGACGGGGCCTCGCAGCACCCCGGCTTCGTGCGCCCCTCGGCTCCATCGCGCAGGGATCCTCGGCCGAGGGGCCGCGGGGAGAGTGAGTGGGTCCCTTCGCTCACCTGGGGCGGAGGCGCTCGCTCATGGCCGCTGGTGAAGGCGAGCGACGCGGCTGCGCCGCCCCGCGCCGACAGCGAACGGACGGGGTTGTGTTCCCGCGACCGCCACGCCCACCCCCACGGGCCTGGGCTCTGGCAGCCGCGCGGGTAGAGGCTGCGGGCGCTGAGTACCCCTCAGGCCGACCCGTACCACCGCGACTTCCGGCGTCTCCTCCGCGCCCCCCCATGTCGCAGGCGCCGTGGTACCGTCCTCCTGCGGCTGCGCAGTGGCGGGGACGCCGTTGGCCCCGCTCACCCACGACCCCGCCCCCAGGAAGAGGCGTGTCCGGAGAGGGAAAAACAGACCGGGCACTTCCAGGACCCCGTGTAGGTGTCCGAGGCATCGGCCTGTTCAAAAACAAACCGGGACAAGCTGTAAAAGTCAAGCCGGATTTGAATACATTAAATTATTGGAACACCAACTGATACGTGTATCTGTGTTAAATCTCTATGCGGTGGAAAATGAAAAGGAAAAGAGCTGGGCGAGCTCCATCAGGCACTGAAGCGGACGGCCACAGGCTGTGGGTTCGATGGTGGGAAGGCGGTGTGAGTCCCGAGTTCGAAGGGAGCGCCGCGTGGAACTTTGCGTCTCGAGCGGTGCGGAGCCGGTTCGGTGGAGTGTCCAAGGGCTGGGCTGTTTCCCACGACCTTTTCTGTAGGTCGGGAGTGCAGATCAGGAGAACGGACTAACGGAGTCCCAGCCCCGACGGGGAGCGGTCCCGCCCACCTGCTGGAAGAGGCCGGGCAGAACGGTGTGGGGAAGCCGGCAGGCGTGGGAACGCCTTGCTCGTGGCGAGGTGAGCGTGATCAGGGGAAATCACGAGGTCCCAGCGGGGCGTGTGGGGCGCGCACCTGTCATCCCAGCCCTTGGGAGGTGGAGGTTGGAGGACCGGCAGGTCAAAGTCATTCTCGATTGTGAAACGAAGCTAGCCTGGCCTACTTGAGACCTTGTCTCGGATTTTGAATGTTTGGTTTTATTTTTTCGAATAAGTGTACTCTGGGCCCGGAATACTTGGGGAAGTTTTGACTCTGATTTTCAGAAGCATCCCCAGTTGTATAGGAATCAGTCAGTACTTGGCCACCTTTTGCATCAGCTCTCCAGTTTTAATCTTTATAGAAGTTGACGTTCAAAGTTTCTGCCAAACACGTGAACAGTGATCCACAAACATGGGGGTCTTGTAGAGGTCAGGCATACTAACACAAGTCTTTAATCCCAGTACTCGGGAAGCAGAGGCAAGCCAGTCTATGTGAGTTCAAGACCAGCTTGGTCTGCTTAGCGAGTTCCAGGGCAGACAAGGCTACACACTGAGATCAAATATCCCGCAATACTTAACTGCTCTTAAAAGCCCTAAGGAGTTCCTCTTCTAATGTTTAAGGGTTTTTCAACAATTTCATTAAATTTATGTAACCTCCACTTGGCATAAATAACAAAATTGAATTCTGGCTGACATTGTTAATGTCTTTTCCATTGGCTAAGCATTAGTTTATTAGACTTAAATCTTTTGGTTTAGTTTTGCTGTGGTTATTGTTTGGGGTGGGGTTGTTGTTTTGTTTTGTTGGTGGTGGGTTTTTTTATTTTTATCTATTTATTTATTTTGAGATGGTCTCATTATGTAACTCTGGCTTTCCTGGAACTTCGTAGGCCAGAGTGAATCTGAGGCCAGCCTGGGCTTCACAAGAACCTATCTTTTGTTTTGTTTTTGTTGCTTGAAACGGGGTTTCTCTGTGTAGCTTTGGAGCCTGTCCTGGAACTCGCTCTGTAGACCAGGCTGGCTTCATAATCACAGAGATCCACCTGCTTCTGCCTCCCAAGTGCTGGGATTAAAGGCTTGCACCACCACCGCCTGGCAAGATCTCTTTTCTTTAAGATGTATGTATCTATTATGTAGTGTTCCTCCTGTATGCCAGAAGACGGCACCAGATCTCATTATAGATGGTTGTGAGCCACCGTGTGGGTGCTGGGAATTGAACCCAGGTTCTCTGGAAGAGCAGCCAGTGCTCTTAACCATTGAGCCAAGAAAAGCAAACAAAATAAGGAGTTAAAATTCATGCCTAAAGCCGGGCGGTGGTGGCGCACGCCTTTAATCCCAGCACTCAGGAGGCAGAGGCAGGCGGATCTCTGTGAGTTCGAGGCCAGCCTGGTCTACAAGAGCTAGTTCCAGGACAGGAACCAAAAAGCTACGGAGAAACCCTGTCTCGAAAAATAAAAAAATAAAAAAAAATCATGCATAAAATGATTACCTGTGTTCTTCATTGTTTTCCCAGAAAGAGGATGGCTGATGCTAGCCCCGGGATGGAGGTGTGTCCTTATTGTAAGAAGCCATTTAAGCGATTAAAATCCCACTTGCCACACTGTAAGATGATGGGACCGCCCATATCTGCTGATCAAAAAGTTTATCAGTCCAAGCCAGCTTCACTTTCACATGCTAAAAAAGAGGCGAGGCCTACCAAAGACCTAACCAGAGCTAAAAGGAGAGAGCAAGAGACAGAGGGTGCAAAAAGAAATGCCCCCTCAGAAAAGGGCAGCCCAGAATGGACGGCTACCACCCTTCCACTGACAGCAGGTGTCCTGGAAAGAGCGGGTACAACAGAGGCAGGAGGAAAAACCAATGATCAAAATCAGCCCCCCTTCCAAGTTCTCAGTCACGCCAAGATAAAGGTGACTCTGCAGAGAGCCACAACCCCTCAGTCTCGTGCATCAGAGGCCACCTCTCCCAAGAGAGAACTTGCCGAAGATGTGACTGGATCCAAGGGAGGTCTGTGTCATCCCTCAGAAACAGAAGGATTGCTGGTTGGCTCGGTGGAACCAGTTTTATCTGATCAAGGTAAAAAATATTCCTCAACTCAGCATCATGCTAAACTGGCCACTTCTGCAAGTCTGAAATTGGACACAGTCGATCCCCAAAGACAGAAACCTCTGGCAAAATTATTAGACGTGCCTGTTAGTGATTGTCATTCACCAAAGAATAGTAACCATGGGGTTCAGAGAGGCCAACCCTTGATATTGAACAAGGAAAGCAATTCCCAAGGTGGAGACCACATCTCAGAAGTCTCTCCCTACCCTGGCAATGCTGAGACCCAAAATAAGTCAGAATCACTCCTCTTGGACCTTCACCCCGCTCCACTGGGTAAAACACTAGTCAGAGAGCACCAGGAGCTCCACCTCGGAACAGAGTTGCGCCAGCACAACAGAAATCCTGAGAACAGCATGTCTGCCACAGAAGCACAGGCACAAGCTTGCTCGGGCCGTGATAATAAGGACCCCATTTTACCCACAAAGGCAAAAACACAGGCGGCCCTGGCACTTTTGAACGTACTTACTCCACCAGAGGGAACTTCAAGGAAGCTTCTCTCTGTACCAGAATCAGGGCATCAGTGCCTCGCCTCTCCAGTTGTGAAGTCTCCTCCAGAAGTCTCTGCCATAACACTATTAGTGGGAAGCAAGAGGGATGTTTTGGAACCCGTGTCTTTCCGCCAACCCCATGCACCCCAGACAGGGTACCAGGTACCGTCATATTCAGCTCAGTACCCGGTGTCTAAATGCTCCCTCGTCAGTCATGTTGCTATTGCGGACTCAGAGGCTCTTCCCCGGTCTGTGGGACTCGAGTGGTTTCCAGAACTCTATCCAGGTTACATCGGTCTAGGAGTGTTGCCAAGGGGACCTCAGCATTGGAACCCAGTGGCTCAGATGCCTCCCCCTGCCACTTCCCAGGGTGTGAGTGTCTCGAAAGGTAAGCAGGCTCATTTGTGAGGACCACCCTGCCCCTCCAGAATGTTCTGCACCTTTGAAATAGGGCTGACAGTCCTTGTTTTCATTCAGTTAACTTAGCCACACCTACACAGTCTACCCCACGCTTGACTTAACTGACAGAAGAGACCTCTCAGTCCAGAGTCAACTGGAATGTTTCTTCTCCCTTCTCCATCGAGAGTTGAGGGTTAGACTGGGCCAGGCTGCTGATCCTGACAGCAGCTGCGTTTCTATACTGGGAAGAGGCCTAACAGAAATTGGATGGGCAAGCTGAGCGTGGTAACGCACGCTTTTAATTCCGGGCCCTTGGACACAGAGGCAGGCTGATCTTTGAGTTCAAGGCCAGCCTGATCTACATAATGAGTTCCAGGACAGCCAGGGGTACGTAGTCTTGAAGAAAAAGAAAAGAAATTGGATGGGAAAGGCTATAAGGGATAAGAGCCCAGTGTCCGGAGCGGCACGTAGGAAAGAAAGGCCTGTGGGTGCAGTGCCCGTGGCCTCTGCGCTCCATCCGTGATCATAGCTCAGATTTTTTTTGTGTATGTTTCTCCGAACCTGTACCTGGAAGTGAACCCAGCTTGAACAACAGAGGAAAAACGAAGTCCATGGTCCCCAACACCGCTGAGACCCCGGCCCAACAGTGGCAGTTTCTAGAGGGTACATGTTGTGTTTTGAGTTGAGCTACATCTCCAGGCTTTATGATCGGTCTTTTTCTGTTCATTTTGTTTGTTTTCAAGTATGTGAAAGTTTGGGGTAAAATGTGCACACGAGTGCAGTGCCTGTAGAGGCCAGAAGAGGGCATCAGAGACCCTGGAACTGGAGTTATAGGTGGTTGCGAGCTACTAGATGTGGGTGCTGGGAACTGAACCCAGGTCCTCTTCAGCACTGCAGCCATCTCTCCAGCCCCATGATTTTTCTTTTTCTTGTTGGTTTTTAAGAGACTTTGACCTTGCACAAATACATACTGTGTGATTCCTTGGACACCAGTATGCTTTTGTTTTTAAAGATTTTTTTATGTATATGTGTGGTAATTCATGTGAGTTCATGTGTCATGTGCCACATGCATACAGTTGCCCATGGAAGCCAGAAGAGGGTGTCTGATTGCTAGGAATCATATTTCAAAATGGTTTAAGTCACTACAGGGATGCTGGGAACCAAAACTGAGTCCTCTGCAAGAGTAGCAAGTGCTCTTTACTGCTGAGCTCTCTGTCCCAGCCCCCATGTATAATATGATCATTTGAGTGTTTTTATATTCACCTGCTGACTCCATCTATCTTAATTTATCCTTTGTCCTGACAAACCAAACTGAGATCAGAAAACCACGGCCAGTTGGGATCCCCTTCTGGCTTGAACACAGAGGAAAACGTGAAAGAGAAACACGTGCCTTCTTTTCTGGTTCTACTTGTTAGTCACACGTCAGCATAAATAGGACGGTTCAGCCGAGGCCTGGCTGAACCATACCAGACATACCAGATAAGATGACTGACAGGGAGTAGGGGTATGTGTGACGATCGTCCCTAAGCTCAGATCCACAGTGCTCCAGAGCGACAGCGTCTTGAGTGCTGATGTGGGTACCTGCAGTCCTGGGGAGGAGATGATCCCAAGCCTAGCTGCACATAGGCGGTCGCAGTCCAAACAGGCATGCTTAAAAAAAAAAAATCTTCAGAATATACTGACAGGGTTTGTCAGACAAATTCATCAGAAGCGAAGATGGATTTGGGGGCTGTGGATGCAACTCAGTGGTAGAGGGCAGGCAGACATGCATTTTTACTGTGTGTAGGGTCCTGGGCTCAGTCGCCAGTGGGGCAGGGGAGCAGAGAACAGAGAGATTCCATAGTTGGTTCTGGTTTGGGGCCTAAGACAGTTCATTGTACACATGTAGATGGTTCAAGATTGTTTTCAGGCCCAAATCTAAACTCTTCAGTGCAGGCATTTCAGGATACTCAACCTGTAGTAGAAATAGCTACTTCTTGCTAAAATCTCAGCAGATGATAAGCCGTGGTTTGACCAGGCATGTGCACGCAGAAGGGGCAGCTGATGGGTCTATCACAGTACAGGGTCTCTGAGGAGGATTTCACTTCAGTGTGTGGTGTAACTGCATCCCAGTGAGGTGCTCATTGACCCTCCTGTCGGGGTGTGCTTTTCCTGAGGGCTAGCCATGGGGCCCCGCAGCTGCACAGTGGGAAGGGGCGATTCTAGATGGACTATCACAGCGACTTCTGTTTGGAACCGTAGTTCCCTGGTTGGGACGAAGTTTGGCTGATAGCTGGAGTTCCGAAGCCCCGGCGCACACAACTTCCAGCTTCCCTCTTATGAGGCTCCTGGGAGCCGTGCACAAAGGTGAGGATGCTGTCACTGACTGGTGGGTTCTCTCGCTGGCCCCAGGCTTGTGGAGAAGTTTCTCCACTGTAGGTTGTTAAGCCAAGAAGAGAAAGGAGTGGTTGTCGTTCTCCGTGTTTCCGTTTCAGAGTCGAGTGTCGTTCGGGACCCCAAAGCTAACAGAGCAGCAACTCTTCCTAAAAGACAGCCCTGCCACCTGTCCCTAACCACTCCTTCCTCACAGTGATCAGCCTAGGCAATGCTGAACCTCAGCTAACCAATCGTCTCCACTTTGCATTGCTCCAGAGTTTAACCCAACTCCCAACGTGGGAACACGTGATTTGAATTTACTCAAGTTCTCCATAGCTGAACCTTGCTGCCAGCTATGGAAATGTATATACTTTGTATAACCCACACTCATATAGGCCCAGAAGTTCTGTGAGTTAGAGTTCATTGCACAGTCTAGCAGGACTGACTTGAATGGTGTGCACATCCTGGGCCATGCCCCGGCCACTAACCATGTGATCTACCCCCCCCCCCCCCCCCCTGCACAGGCTGGGTGATGTGCAACGCCACCATAAAGAAGAGCAGCGTCGGGAGCCTCACCATGCTCTTCGCTGGCTACTTCATCCTGTGTTGTAACTGGAGCTTCAAGCGTCTGAGTAAGCCATCGTAATAAGTAGCCTAAGTGACTCGTCACCTCCCTTTGGGCTCTGGTGGTAGTATCCGGGAGCCCTGATGTCGCTGGGTCTCTTGGGCTCCATTAAAGGTCCGCAAGATTTGAGTTATATTTACATGGCTGCTCTCGCTGCCCATTAGTGATACCTGTGATGGACCAGAGGCCTTCAGTTGGTGGGTTGGTTTGCTTTTCCTGCTTTAAACTGTTCCCCGCTAGGGGGAGGCGCCGTCTTTTGTGCCTGAGAACCCCCTTTCCACAGTGGACTAGAAGGGCTTTCTGCCACCTAGAGCAGGAGGAACAGAACAGACCATGTGTTTAAGATGCTTAAGCAGCTTCAGCCTTTTGTTCACCAGGTCTCCCTGTGCAGGTCAGGCTAGACCCAGACTCAGACCCCAGCCCTGACCTCTGCCCTGAGCTCTCATCCCCCTTCCTCAGCCTGTGAGTGCTAGGGTTACAGGTACGTGCCACCACACCTGGCTAGAGTCTGCTTGTTGTTGTTGTTTTGTTTTGATTCAAGTCAGGGTTTCTCTGTGTAACAGCTCTGGCTGTCCTAGAATTCACTTTGTAAACCAGGCCTGCCTCTGCCTCCCTAGTGCTGAAATTAAAGGCGTGCACCGCTACCACCACCGCCCAGCTTTTTTTGTATTTTAATTTAATTCTTTTTTTTTAATTTTTTTTTGTGTATGAGTATTTTGCCTGCAAGTATGTCTATGTCTGTATACAAAGTACGTGACTGGTGTCCGTGGAGACCAGAGAAGGCATCTGATCCTCTGAAACTAGAGTTACAGATGGTTTTGAGCTGCCTTGTAGGTGCTGGGAATCTAACCCAGGACCTAAGGAAAATCCAACAAGCGCTTTTAACTTGTGAGCCATCTCTCCAGCCACTGAGTCTGGCTGCCTTCAATGTTTACAACCAAGCTCCCTGAACCAGACACGGTTCATGCCTGTGATCCCATCGTTCAAGAGGCTAGTGTGGGAGGGTAATGAGTTCAAAGCTGGTTTAGACTACGCACACGTGGTGCCCTGTCTGAAAATCAAACTGTATCGCCTGCTATAGTTGTGCTCATACGAAGTCCTGACAGGAGGAAAATGTCCAAGATAACTTTCGTTCATTTAAACATATCTGGAGGCTGGAGAGTTGGTTCAGTGGTTAGAACACTTGTCGTTCTTAAAGAGGATCCAGGTTCAGTTCCCAGCATCCACATGGCAGCTCAGAGACATTCCTAACTTCAGTTCTGAGGAGTCCAACACCCTCTTCAGACTTCTGCAGGTACCAGGCACACATGTACTGCAAAAAAAAAAAAAAAAAAAAAAAAAAAAAAAAAACTCCCCAGCACTGGGAGGCAAAGGCAGGCAAAATTCTGAGTTCATGGCCAGCCTGGTCTAAAAAAAAAAAAAAAAAAAAAAAAGACTCCGGATTTAGAAAGAAAAAACTCATGGTTCATAGGAAACTACCCCCAAGAAAGTTTAGTATTTTTTCATAATTTAAGAGGTGGCAGGAGCCTAGGCTATTTCAGATGAAAACTCAGTGTACTGACTCAGTCCCTGTCTGGAGAGTCAGGGTGAGAGGTGACTGAGCAAAAGGGGCCTGCAGCACACCTGCATGCTGAGCATCTTGCCATAGACACAAGTTCTCCTTGTAGCACGCAGTGGGCCATTTGTGAAACACGGGATCCCGATACAAACAAGAAGCCTAGAAGCAGAATCCCATCTCTCTAAAGACAGTGCTTGCTCCCAGGCGAGCCAATCCAAAGGTATTAGTCACGTGGCATTTTAATGTCTAGCCCAGGTTGACCTTGTCCTACCTCTGCCCCCAGTGCTGCTGGTGCCACGCACCTGACCTGGACATTTTTTTTTTCATCTCTGAAGACTGAAGCAGGATGTTCTTAGGCCCAAGAAGATTCCTAAATGTATGAAACAAAAGTATTTAAAAAGCAAAGATAAAAAACAGCCAGTAAGGGCTGGAGAGACGGCTCAGTGGTTAAGAGCACTGCCTGCTCTTCCAAAGGTCCTGAGTTCAATTCTCAGCAACCACATGGTGGCTCACAACCATCTGTAATGAGATCTGGTGCCCTTTTCTGGCCTGCAGACATACACACAGACAGAATATTGTATACATAATAAATAAATATTTTAAAAAAAAAAAAAACAGCCAGTAAGACACGTCTTCCCAGGTTCTCATCTTTGTCTCTGTTTGTCCCAAGAGCTGCAGCGCTGGCGCAAGTAATGCCGACCGAGCACGTCCGAGAGCCACGGAGGGTGTGACAGAGAAGCTGCAGAGCGGACGAAACACTCGAAGTTGCTGCGGACAGAGAGGGTGCCAATAATAAAACTACCGAAACCACCTCTTTGTTTCTTTTGTTAAAAAACAATTCTATTAGCGTTTAAGAGACGAAATGGGGCAGACAAGCTATAAACCTCAGCAGCTGCTCGGTCGTAGAAAAGAGTAGAATCATCGCAGGTTTTTGTTTTGTTTTGTTTTGTTTTGTTTTGTTTTGAGCATAGGGTCACACTGTCGTCCTGGCTGGCCCACAGAGATCCACCTGCAGACTGCGGGGTTAGAGGTGTGGCCCACCAGGCAGGGGTAAGTCACACTTCCACAATGCTGTTCATCTTTTTTTTTGTTTGTTTGTTTTTGTTTTTTGTTTTTCGAGACAGGGTTTCTTTGTGGTTTTGGAGCCTGTCCTGGAACTAGCTCTTGTAGACCAGGCTGGTCTCGAACTCACAGAGATCCGCCTGCCTCTGCCTCCCGAGTGCTGGGATTACAGGCGTGCGCCACCACCGCCCTAACACTGTTCATCTTTGATAGAAGTGGGCAGGAATTTAGAGGCAGGAGCTGATGCAGAGGCTATGGAAGGGGGAGCTGCTTATTGGCTTGCTCGGTTTGCTTTCTTATAGCACCACCCACCATAGGCCCTCCCACGTGAATCACTAATTAAGCCCACAGCTGGGTTTTATGGAGGTATTTATGGCAGATCATTACTGTGACTCCAGTTCCAGGGGAAATTACACTTTTCTGAACTCCAAGGGCACTAGGCATGCTTATGGTCTTACACATAACAGGCAAAATACACACAAACAAATTTAGAGTTTGACTCTCCAGGACCCATGTGGTAGAGGGAGACAAGCAACTCCCACACCTCTGACCTCCACTAGAATGTGGTATGCATGCCCAACCACCCCCCCCACACACAGGACCTGGGGGTGTATCCCAAAGGTAGATTTTTCTCTGGCTTGAATGTTGCCCTGGGTATGATCTCCAGCATCAACAAAAGCAATGCTGGGTCTTAAACCAGGCACGGTGAAGCACACCTTGGGAGGTTGAGGCAAGAAGATGACAAATTCGCTGGCACACACACACAGGAGGCAGAGACAGCCTGGTCAACAAAGGGAGTTCTGAACTGGCTCCACAGCTACTGGGAAACCCTGTCTCAAAAAAATCAGGGCAAAGAAATCACAGGTTCAAGGTCAACCTGATCCACATAATGAGAACTTGTCTTAAAAGCTATTTTAAGGGTTAAAGTAGCTCAGTGGAAGAGCGCATGTCACTAGAGGCCGTGGGTTCCGTTCCCTAGCACCACACAAAGAAATAACAGTGGAGCTGTATATGTAGTCATCACTAGGGAGTTAGAGACAAGGTCAACCTCAGCTATATAGTGAGACAGCCTGGGCTACAACATAAGACCCTGTATCAAGAAAGGAAAATACAATTTATCGTATTATTCACAGGCTATCTTAATGAGAAAACCAGTCAACACTCTTCATAATGAAAATATTTTTAAAAAATACCTCTGAGTGGATCATTCACCTCTTCTGCCCTCAGAGAAGTGGTTGGCAGCACCATGGGAAGGGTGCTATAGGTTCCCTGAGCCTCCTTTCTGAACGCTTAAATTGGGATAGATTTGACTCTCCCTGAAGAGATATATAACTCTAATCCAAGAAGGGATGGTTGATGGGGACTTGTTACTTTCCTACTCTACTGCTCTGCTAAGACACCATGACTAAGGCAACTTATAGAGGCTTATATCGGGTAAGTCCATGACCATCGTGGTGAAGGAACAGAACAAACTCCGTTTTGAGAAAGAATATTTTATTCAGGACCTAACTAGGGGGTGAGTGCAGCCCAGCAAAATCATAAGCAATCATAAACTGGGCCAAAGCGACCCACCAGGGTATCCAAACAACATCTGCTTGCTTCGAAGGTCCTTTTAGGTATCTGATTAACTGCTGTTTTTAAATTTCTGTCTGCTGACAGTCACTGTTTTGAAAGTCCCCTCTACCCCCACTAACGAAATCAAAAGTTGTGTACTTATATCCAATCCTGAAACGCCAAGGCTTGTGCCACCCTGCTTGTGGTTTTTCCCTTTAAAAACCCCTTGCCCCGAAGCCTCGGGATCATTTCCCCCCTCCTGTTGTGTCAGTGTGTTGGATTATGGTCCATGCTAGCTTGAATAAACCCCAGTGTGTTTGCATCCAATATGGTCTTATATGGGGGTCCTGTGATGCGCGCAGGTACAACAGCGGCAGGGAACATGGCAGCAGGCAGGCAGCCCTGGTGCTGAAGCAGGAGTTGAGCTCACATCTGGAGATAACCATAGACGGAGAGAGGGACAGAGAGGGCTAACTGGAAATGGTATAAGCTTTTGAAACCTCAAAGCCCAACCCAATGACATACCTCCTCCAACAAAGCCAGACCTCCTTGTTGAAGGAGCAGTGGGCTGCGTTCCTGCCACCCAGCTCCCGGCTGCCTGGCTAGCTTATGCCCCAAAATAACAACACACAAACTGTATTCTTTTAAACACTGCTTGGCCCATTATGTCTAGCCTCTTCTCGGCTAACTCTCACACCTGGACTAGCCCATTTCTAATAATGTGTGTAGCACCCCAAGGTGCGCTTACCGGGAAGATTCTAGCCTATGTCCATCCTGGGTTGGAGCTTCATCGCGTCTGCCCCAGAGAGGAGAGCTATCGAGTCTGAGCTCACTTCCTCTTCCTCCCAGCATTCTGTTCTGTTTACTCCACCCACCTATGTTCTAACCTATCAGGGCCAAGCAGTTTCTTTTTTTTTTTTTTAAAGTTTGACACTTCTTTTTTTTTAATATTTATTTATTTATTATGTATACAATATTCTGTCTGTGTGTGTGTGCCTACAGGCCAGAAGAGGGCACCAGACCCCATTACAGATGGTTGTGAGCCACCATGTGGTTGCTGGGAATTGAACTCAGGACCTTTAGAAGAGCAGGCAATGCTCTTAACCGCTGAGCCATTTCTCCAGCCCCCGCCAAGCAGTTTCTTTATTAATTAACCAATAACCTTCCTCCATCACCTCCTAATACTTCCCAAGCATTTCTACAAACTAGGGGAGCAAGCATTCAAATATACGAGCCTATGGGAACCATTCCCATTAAAACCACCACAGGGATGCACACATTGTTTAAAAGCTCTCAACCTGGAAAGAGAAGCTTCACAGCAGCCCACACTTGGACCAGCTTTGGCAGGGGGGATCAGGTTCCAAAGATGAGGTGAGGAGGCAGGAGAGGGGGCACAGAGAGATGGACACAATCTGAGGGTGAATTGGAATGGCTGCCTGAAGCCTTTAATTGAGAAAAGGTTACCCCTGTATACTGCATAGCTGCATATAGGATTAAACTGGAGACAGGGGGCCTGTGAGCTGGGGTGTAGCTTGAGACCTGAAGTTGAAGCTAGCCTTGAACTTGACAATAGGCATCAGTTATGCATTAATGAAAGGATCACAAGTTCCTCTTGCCAGAAATAAGAATGACTGCTTTTTCAAGTAGGAACTTTCCTCAGGCCCCCAAGGGAATGAAGAGACGCTAGATTACAGTTTCTCAGTCTTACTATATGGGCCTGTACCCCTCATAACTCTCCTAAAAGGGAAGGTCCTGATGTCTTACTCTTTTCTCATTATACTGCACCATTCTGATTCCTCTGTATTTATTAACTGAACTCTTGCCTTTAATGGCCTCAGGCTCTGGATCTGAACTGTAGGCATTTCATCCTTGCGATCAGGTGCGCCTAGTAAATCTCTAACGCTCCTGTTCTTGGTATAATTAGCAGGGCATGATGGAATTTCTGGTTCCATCGTAGCAGGGATTTCTTTTTCCCCAAAGAATTATTTTGTTTAGAGGGGAGGCCATTGTTATGAATACATGGTGAAGTGGGAGGGGCCTTTAGCAGGTCCCGTGGCAGATGAAAGACAAATAGGCCAAACAGACAGAGCTTGAGTTTATTGAGAGAAGGGCAAAGGGAAGGGAAGAGAGAGAGGAAGGGAGGGAGGGTGAAAGGGAGATGGGGGAGTGAGAGAGAGAGAGAGGGAGGGAGGGGCAGAGACCTACTTGCCTCTTTAGAGCAACAGGAAGAGAGCAGGAGTAGGGGAGACTTGTCTCTTAAAAGGACCTTTGCACCTGCCTAGAGTCAGGGTACTACCTGCCATGCATACGGGGTGCCCACTCTGTCTCTGCCAGGTCCCCAAGGGGCTGGGCCAGGTTTGTGTTTGCCTGGATGCTAACAACCATTGTACATATTTTTATCCCACACAAAATTTCCCAAAGGGAAAGGCATTAATATTGAAAGCCATTAAAAATGAAAGTAAAAGGCGCTGGTCACATGTGGTCTGCACCGTCGACATGCTAGAGCTTTGTCATGACATGCTTGTCATGACAGCAACGGTCACCATGTGCTCCATGCCACCACGTGTCCTGCAGAGTTCTGTCACATGTACTGGGTCATTTCACCTGTATGACAGCCCTGTGTTGTGGCTACTTGAGTTCTAGATTGAGGAAGCAGGCTAGAGGAGGTTCGGCGGTTTTCCTACATGGCCAAAAGCTATCACATAGCATCCTAGGGTGGTTTGAAATGGTATCCGAACACGCAAACTGCCCCCCTGGGCCTGTGTTATGCATTGCCTCAGCAAAGTCCTCATGCTGAAGGAGGCCAGGTAGCCATGCTCCACCTAGTCCTTCTGCCGACTGCCTTCTTCTGTACTGAAAAAGTCCACTTAGCTGCCCCCTTCTTCCCAGTGGATAAACGGCATTGTTGTGTCTGCTTCGTCATGGTGGAGACTGTCCTGGTCACTGCCTTAGCTCAGCAGGATAAGCCTTTTCTATATACCAAGGCCTAATCCCCCGGTGAGGGTTAATCTATGTCAGCTAGGCTGCGTACCTAGGAGCTACACCTCCGGATGTATCTGGGAAGGTGTTAGGGTTCACTGAGTGGAGAAGACAGGCCAAGAACCCATGAATCCACGCAATCCGTGTAGCATGCTACAGTACATGGGTAGCACCCTCTCCATGTTCTGGATTCCCAGACCGAATCTGAAAAAGAAGGAAGCTGAACATTTCTCTTTCTAGGCTTCCTTGAATGGATTCAACACAACCAGCCAGTTCACACTCCCACCATGGTTTTCCTGCCATGGTTGACTATGTCCTCTCAAAATAAACCCCAAGATAGCTGCTTTGTCACAACCTTAAAAAAAAAGAAAAAAAAAGAAAAAGAAGAAGAAGGAATTAATACAACTTCACGTAAGACACAGAATATATTCTCAGATTTAAACAAGCCATACTGGGAAGCAGCTGTCAGGCTGAAAGCCACCGTTTGATTGGATTGCCCATTTTCAGGAGCTCTTGAGACCATTGGCCCAGGGTAGTCAGCAAGAGCATGATATGGGACACTGACTGACCTGGTTGAGTTCAGTGCAGTTGGCTCTACTGGTTCACAGATAACTCCTCCCTCCCACAGTCAGCCGATCTCTGGTCCTGTTGTATTTTTTTTTTTTTTTTTAGCAGCTTGTTCACGCGCAGGGTAGTTGGAAATAGGCCAGATGCTGTAGGCTGTTTCTGCATCCTGTATCTCACTGGGGTGATGGGGCTCACTGGACCACTGGGTGCAGAATTCCCTGGGGAGGCCATGGAGCCCCTTTACTAGGAGGATTTCCAGTTCCTGTGCTACAGACTGGGTCTTGATGACTCTGACTGGTACAGCCTTCGTCACTGGCATTGGTGGCCTGGGTTTGGAAGAAAAGAGAGAAAGTTAGGGTCATGCCTTCTTATGAATTGTGCAAAGAAAAGTCCCCACTTGTCTGGAGAACCATGGGCTAGTTTTCTAAAGAATTCATCAGCTCTGGGCAGTGGTGACTCACACCTTTAATCTCAGTTCCCCAGGAGGTAGAGACAGGGGGATCTTTGTGAGTCCGAGACCAACCTGGTCTACAGAGTGAGTTCCAGGACAACCAGGGCTACACAGAGAAACCCTGTCTCAAAATAAACAAACAACAACAACAACAAAAACTTATTGGCTACTCCAGCCTCACAGGTTGAAGTGGAAAGACCTGGTAAGTACAATAGTTTGAGACCAGCCTGGGAATAATTGCAGAATCTGGACCCAAAAGAGAGACTTCAGATTCCCATTCAGCTCCCATCCTGCAGACAAGGTGGTTCGTGCTTTTCAAAGTCAAACCTCCAAGAAAATAAAGAGTTCTGCCCTCTTACCCAGCATCTGGGTGTAACTGTACTTTTTTTTCTTTTTGAAGCTAGGTCTTCTGTAGCCCAGGTTGCCTCTCTATATAGCCAAGGATGACCTTAAACTTCTGATCCTCCTGCCTCCACTTTTTTGTTTGTTTGTTTGTTTTCCGAGACAGGATTTCTCTGTGTAGCCCTGGCAGTCCTGGAATTCAGTTCCCTCTGTAGACCAGGCTGGCCTCTAACTCACAGAGATCCACCTGCCTCTGCCTCCCGAGTGCTGGGATTAAAGGTGTGTGCCACCTGATCATTGGTTAAAGAGAAAAATCACAGTGCAGGACAGACAGTAATCTACCTCATAAAGGCATTGTTTATTTTTTGTATTCTACTTATTTATCTTGAGACAAGATCTTACTATGGAGCCCTAGATTACCTGGAACTCACTCTGTAGACCAGGCTGACCTCGAACTCACAGAGATCCACCTGCCTCCGCTTTCAGAGTGCTGGGACCAAAGGTACACACCACCACACCCAGCAGTTCAGTTTTCTTTTCAGACAGGGACTCACTCTGCACACAACCTTGTCTGGCCTGGAGCTCCCTAAGTAGATTAAATGAGCCTCGGACTTGGTGCAGTCCTCCAGACTGCCCGGTGCATTCTGGGATTACAAGCATGCACCTTCCCACCAGACCCTCGGTTCTCTCCATTCACATCCCCGAACCCCAGCGTGGCATCCTCATCTGCTGCCGATGTGGAGTCATGGTCTCCATCTAGATGTTCAGCACCTCCCCTGCAGCCCTCAGGAGACCGAAGTGCTCTCCCTGCCCTGCAGGCTCCTTCACTTACCTGTGGGGCGGGTGGGAAGCTTGAGCTGCAGGCAGGAGGCAGGGCCGGCCTCTTCTGATGGTAGACCGTGGACCTTGCCAGGGAAGGGGTTGCTAGAGTATTGCCAGAGGAAGCTGGAGCTGTTCCATCCCCGGGCTGGTTGACAAGCTGCAGACAGAGGGCCAGGAGGTACCCGTGCTGCAGAGACTCCCGGTGTAGACATGGTCACTCAAATACCCAAGTTCTGAGGTTTGGGGGTCTGGTTTTTGTATTTTGACATGAGAGATTGCTTTGGGATGGGTGGCTGGCATTGATTTGTTTTGGTGTTCCCAATGTATTTTTTTAATTAGTTTTTCAAGAATTTTATATGACATGACTTGAGTATATTCACACACACACACTTTATTTTTGATACAGTGTCCCATGTGACTCTGGCTAGCCTCAAATTCTAGACTAGCCAAGGGTGGCCTTGAACGTGAACCTTCTGCCTCCACCTCCACAGTGTTATCAACACTTTTATCCAACACTGCCTTTGGAAGAAGTTACCTGCCCCCCAGTAATTACAAAAGAAAAGAGATATGGGGCAGGAGAGATGACTCAGTGATTAAGAGCACTGACTGCTCTTCCAGAGGTCCTGAGTTCAGTTCCCAGCAACCACATGGTGGCTCACAACCATCTGTAATGAGATCTGGTGCCCTCTTCTGGCATGCAAGCATACAGGGAAGGAATGTTGTACACATAATAAATAAATATATCTTTAAAAAACAAAAAAAAAAACAACAAAAACCTCAAAAGAGAGAAAACTGGAGGGAAGGAGGGGGAGTCACTCATTAGGAAGCTGGGGATGTTAGCTGTTGCTCAGTAATAGAACACTGGCCTAGCCACCTAGGACTCTGGATCCAGTTTCCAGCATTGAGGTAGGGGTGGGGACGTATGATGAGCAGGACATCACCTGAAGACAGCAGTATGCTGACCCTTGGCGTGAGTTCTCACTGATGCCTGGTAACAATGGGGATAATATGTATCTCCCTAGGAACCAGGGAAATTTATGAATTGCCCTAGTCTTCATTCAGAAAGTTGACTTTGGACTGGAAGTCCTGGGTTTTTGCCAGTGGCAAGATGACTCAGTGGGTGAAAGTGCCTTCTGCCAAGCCTGAGGGCCTGAGCTCTGCCCTCGGGACTCGGGTGGCAGGAAAAGACCAATGGCCCCCTGTTGTTGCCCTCTGACTTCCACACACCCACTGTGGCATGCACACACACACACACACACACACAGTAAATAAATAACAAAAAACATAACAGCAAGCAAAGGAAAGAAACCATCCTCGTGTTACCCAGCTAGAGAAAAGGAAGGCCTCAGGGAGATTATGGAGGGGTCCTATGGAGGGGTGCAGAAATGACAGACGACTGTATGCAGGTGCTGGGACCCAGGGTAAACCGTGTGCACCTCCCATGTGCCCGCTCTCTGCGCCTTTTCCCACGGGACATTGCTGTGCTTGGATTTCTCATTTCCTGTTTCGTGAGTTTTCCTCTTATAATAAATAGAATATAATTGTTTTATCCTTAGCTAGCCTGGTTATTTCAAGAAGGTGCCCCATACACATGTGTCTTTTACAGGACTGGGACTCAAAAAAAGTGGGGTCTCCTGAGAACAGCACAGTGCCAGGAAACCCAGACAGGTGTGGGGGCCAAAAGAGGGAAACGTTATGTGGGCTACACTTACCTTCACATTACTGGGGTACAGGACTGGACTCATCTTGGGACTGAGGGAGGGAGGAATGGGATGGCAAGGGAGAGAGAGTGTGTGTGTTAGAGTCAGCTCTACCTTCTAGCCCTGCTCGTTAGCTTGCTGCAGACTTCCCGTTCCAGAGCCACCAGGGAAGGAGGCCTCGCCCTAAGCCCTGCACAGCGCTTCAGAGGACTCAGGAAGTGACCAGGAAGGTTTCCACTCATTTCTAGAACAGCCTGTGAGAAAGGTACATGCCTGCCCCATTGTGAGTACGTGTTAAGAGAGAGGGCTGGAGTCTACCCAGCCAGCGGCACCCAGACCTCCAGGGTGAGAGCAACAGTGCAATGAAAATCACTAGGTAGATGGGGTTGGAGAAGTGGCTCAGTGGTTAAGAGCACTAACAACTCTTCCAGCGGACCTGGGTTCAATTCCCAACACCCACATGGCAGCTCACAATTGTCTGTAACTCCAGTTCCAGGGGACCCGACACCCTCACACAGACATATATGCAGGCAAAACACTAATGTTTATAAAATAAAAATAAAATAAAATTGAGATGGAAATCACTAGGGATACACTAGCTACATAATCTCCCACTAAGGGCAAAGGAAAGTCCAGAATGGTCTACATCCAGATGATAGGGCCCAGCGCTCCAGTGGATTGAGGAACGGAAGAATCATACTTACTGCCCAAGTTGGCACTTAGGTCCCTTGGGGCAGAAGCCGGTGAAGTAGTTAAGACACATGACTTGATGAACATGGCGGTATTTACACAGGGGACCTAGTAGACAAAGAACAAATGGCAAGAGAGCCTTCCTTCCCAAGGAGGGAGTAAACATGAAATAGTTCATGAGGAAGAACATGGGCTGCGGTAGGCTTTCCACTGGGAAGAGGGTGCATAAGCCTTCCTGCCGTGGATGTCCCTGAAGCCAGGAGACAGACAGGGGTAGAAACCTTGCCTCTGGGAAGGGCTGGGCATGTGGTTCAGTGGTAAAGCAGGAGTAGATCCTGTTACCCAGGGTTCCATCCCTTTCTTTACCTTCCCCCAGCCCAAAAAAGGCGAGAGCATGCTGGAGCTATCTTTCCCCATCACACTGGAAGACATGTGATCATAAGTCCCAGGACCCACAGGCACCCTACCTTCTATGCTTGGCTGGGAGCAGGGCAAAGGGTAGAACTTAAGTGGCCTTCAGCATGTGCCTAGCCTGCTAGGCTTCTCAACCAAGGTCCCACATCCACCCATTGAGAAGGATAGGCTGTGAATCCCCCAGCCCTCCCTGGGAAGCCCCGTGCCCTACACCAGCCTGCATTCCCCAATGTCTCGCGAGATTTTTCCACTGACGCGCAAGCCTCGGACAAATTCAGAAAGGCTTTCCACTGGGGCCTGTAGATGGCACAAGCCCTGGTGGGGAGTATTCCTCCTTGCCTGCTGAGTATCCCCGTCTGGGCAACCCTCGCCCCTCACTGCATCCCATCCCTGTCTGCCGAGCTCTCACCGTCCTTGCAGAACCCTTGGTTGTACCAAGGGCAGTCCTGGGGCTTGGGAGTTGACTGCACGTGGAGGAAGAAGCAGTCTTTGTTGCTGCAGTTACCTGAAAAACCCGTCGTGCTCTGTATATAAGCAGGTCCATGCTTTCGACCACTTCTGCATCCCCACCTGGTTTACCTCGGTCCTCCCTCCCATAGGATCCACTGGCCCGTCTTCTGTTTGTCCATCATCTTCGGAAGACCTCTGCCACTCGAAGAGGAACTTCCCCTCCACTATTCCCAGAGCCCAAGGAGGGGTAGGGGTGTTTTGGAGGGAATACCATGGACAGAGCAGAGCTTCTGGTTGGACCCAGTGGGGCCCCTCTCAGAGGACCCACCCCTTAGCTGTGAGCCTAGGCCGTGCTGTCTATGCAGTAAACCAAGTCTTATTCGACTGCATTCTCACAAGGAGACAGCTTTCTGGGCATAGGCTGCCTGCAGCTGTGGCTTTTAGGTTTCCCTTAGGCAGATCTGAAGGAGAGAGATTATGACCCATTCTGTTGACTTTCCCTGGAGAACCTGTGAACGTTTTGCTCTCACCCTCCCTAAAACCCTAGGACTGTGCGCTTTGGAGCAAAGAGGAACTTCATACGGTCTGCCAGAGAGTTAGCTTAAACACGGGGCTCTTCTCCAAGACGATGCTTCACCTGAGGAAGAGGTCTCTTGATTCCTAAGCGTTTGTCGTTCCTTCCCAGCCCTTCCATTTCACAAACGCGAATGCCAGCCTTCAGGGAGAAGCAAGTACCTCATCTGTTCGCCCCGCTTCCTCACACCAAAAGCATTTAGTGACACATCCTTAGCCAACTTGGTAGAGTGCTGTCCCCTGGGTTTAAGCCTCTTTAGGACTCAAAATGAACTCATGCATGGAGTTGGTGAACGCTTGAGCCTCAGCACGTTGCTATACCCTCTTCTCGCCAGCAGGTGGCAGCAACACTCCAGCCTCCACTCTCCTTTGTAACTGCACATACTCCTTTCCAGCGTTGGCCATCCTGTCTCTAAATGTTCTTTCCGGCTCCCAAGCCTCAACACAAGTAAGTGAGTGAGTGTGTGAGTGTGTGCATGGGTGCGAGTTTCTTAGGCTTAGTTACAGACCATGAACAAGGCATTACTGACCCCAAAACAGTGTCATTCCGGCAAAGTCCTGGCCCACTGTGAGGACAGCTTCACAGTGTTGCATCAAGTCCCTTCCGGTCAGTCTACTTCTCGTGTTCTCTCTGCAGCATTTGCTGATCCAGCAGGGGTTTGGTTTTTTTTTTTTTTTTGGTTTGTTTTATTTTGGTTTTAAAAGACAGGATTTCTCTGTGTAGCCCTGGTTGTCCTGGAATTCACTCTTGTAGACCAGGATGGCTTTGAACTCACAGAAATCCACCTGCCTCTGCCTCCTAAGTGATGGGTTTAGAGGAATGTGCCACCATTTAAAGGAATGCCGGGTGTTGGTTTTTGTTTGTTTGTTTTTGTTTTTTAAATAGAGACACTGCTGAAGGCCATAGTAGCACATTTCTCTAAGCCCAGGGCTTAGGAGGCAGAGGCGGACAAATCTTTTGAGTTTGAGGCCAGCCTAGTCTACAAAGTGAGATTCAGGCCAGCCTAGTCTACATAGTGAGTTTCAGGTCAGCCAGGGCTACATAATGAGACCCTGTATCAAAGTGGAGGCAGCATGACAAGGAAGAATGAAGAATGATACACACACATACATACATACATGATTTTTAAAAGACAACCTATGTAGCTCAGGTAGTCTTTGAATTTTAACCCTCCTTCCTCAACCTCCAAAATACTAGGGTAAAAAAGCAGAAAAGCATGCACTACATATACATATACATATATATACATATATACATATACATACACATACACACACACACACACACACACACACACATATATATATATATATATATATATATATATATATATAAACCAGTCTTGCTATGTCATTCTGGCTGGCCTGAAATTCTACAAAATAGACCAGGCTGGCCTCAGACTCACAGAGATTGGCCTGTTTCTCTCTGCCCCTTGAGTTCTGGAATTAAAAGCATGTACCACCATGTACATCTAGCATATAATTATATAATTATTTGTGTAATGCTAGAGATCTTCACTCACTGTTAAGAGCAAAACTTTGGACTGGAGAGATGGCTCAGTGGTTAAGAACACTGACTGCTCTTCCAGAGGTCCTGAGTTCAATTCCCAGCCACCACATGGTGACGCACAACCATCTGTAATGAGATCTGGCGCCCTCTTCTGGCATGTAGGGATACATGCAGGCAGAACACTGTGTGCGTAATACAGCTTTTAAAAAAAAAGCAAAACCTTGGCTTACATATAATCATGAGGTTACACATCTGTCCTAAATTACTTGTAGGAAAATATGGTCCAGTACCACATCTGCTCACCAAAACAAGAAACCCTGGGCTGAGAGAGTAAAAGGACATTTCTAAGTGAAATGCTTCAGGCAGTGGCTTCAGGGACCTGTCACCAGATAAACTTTGTCCTTCTATTTTGGATAGATATTCTGGCAGCCCTCATGAACTGCCACAGGACTCGGCTCTCTGGAGCAGGCAGTCTGGAATGCTGGACTAGAAGAATGGGATGAACTTTCCCTGCCTGCCCCCTCCCCACCCCCAGAGAGACTGTGCCAGCTTCAGGGTAGCCAGGACCCTTCCCATCAGCACTGATGGAACTGGCTACCTGCAAGGCGTGTGGCCCTGAAGTCTCCTGAATGAGGGGTGGGCCCGCAGATCCAGCGTGCTCCCTCCCTCCCACTCTTCTCCCCTTCCCTCCTCCAACCCCTCAGTTTAGAAACCAGTGGACTAGATAATCCCAGCCACACTGGAACTAATCAAACACCAAGATGTAGACTTGACACTGGGAAGGTAAACATTCATGGGCTCCATCTTTTGGTGAGTTTGGAAAGGTGGCTGTGGCCGCCCTAAAGAGCTCCTGGGATGACCAAGAAGGACTTGAGGCCCCAAGGGAGTCTGGAGCGGACCTGACCACACAAGATAATTTTAGGGACCAGACTTCTGAACTTCGTGGCTTTATATACACAGTGACCTTCTCTTTCCATCAAGCGATGCAGGCTTTCCGCTTTGGGAGGTAAGATGACATTTTCATCTAAAATAAAAGTTAGAAATAGCAGGAGAACAGGAAGAAGCGGGGGCGGGGGGAGTCTCCTGGGTTCTGGTGACCATTCTGAGTGCAGCTACCAAATGCATCTCATGTGGGAAGGCCTGACTGGTCCCGTAGGGACTGAGAGGTGGGTCATTCAGGGCTGTTCCTGACCGTCTCTGGGTGTGGGTTAGCCATGCCTGAAGTGGAAAACAACATTATTTTCCCTTGGAGCTGACTGCCGTGTTGAGACTAGCCCATGGCAGATTTGGGTCTGCGGCCTTTGTTTATTTTTATTTTTTATTTAAAGGTTTGTTTCTTTTTATTTTATGTGTATGGGTGTTTTTGCCTGCCTGCATGTGTGTATATGAAGCACGTGTGTGCCTGGAACCTGAGAGCACCAGAAGAGGGCATCAGATGCCCTGGAACTGGAGTTCTAGGCGACTATGAGCCGCTGTGTGGATTCTGGGAACCAAATCCAGGTCCTCTGGAAATGCTGAAGTGCTTTTAATCACCAAACCACCTCCCCAGCCCCTATTGGCTGGCCTGAAGTTTACGATGATGACTTTAAATCCAGAGATCTGCCTGCCTCTGCCTCCTGGGATGAAAGGTATACCCCACCACAACTGACCCTATTTCATATTGTTTGGTTGTTGTTGCTTTTGGACAAAGTCTCGTGCAGTCCAGGCTACCCCTGAACTTCTCTGTATCTGAGACTGGCCATGAATTCCTGATTTTCCTGCCTCAGCCTCCCTAGTGCCGAGACTACAGGTGTGTCGCACCAGGCCCAGCCTTGGTTCGATTTTCTTAGGGTTCAGAGAAGCAGGCAGCTTGGGCTCAGACAGGCAAGGCTGGTCTTTCGGGCCTCTTCGACCCTTATCCATCACCCCCACAGACCAGGCAGGGCATTACCAAACTTTGAGTGGAAGTAGCACACCGGCATCCTGGTGACGTCATACTGGTGTAGAAATTTACAGCTATCAGCCTTTCGGCAGAGCCCTCGAAGCCAGTGTTTGCACACCACCATCTTCTTGCCCTTCTCATGTCGGAGAGGGCACAGCATCCCTGCAGAACACAGCACCTGCTGTAGGCCTCACCTGATCTGCCTGGAGGAGCTCCCCAGGGCCTATGACACCGCCACTGGCCACCTCTGTCATCTGTGTCCATCACCTGGACACAACCTCGGAAGGGCTGGGACAGGGGTCAGAGTACCACACTGGGCAAGAGGCTTCTCTCCCAGAGTCAGAAGACCCCAAGAACCTCCAGGATGCCCCCCCTGCCCCTGTAAGAGAGCAGTTGCCTCACCCCACAACCATAGACAGCTCAGCTTTTGGCATACCATAAGGGCTTGTTGAGTTCATGACTTTTGCAGCGGGGGAAATGTTTTGGATTTGTTTCTTGTTTTTATTTGTATGTGTTTGTGTGTGTGCCTGAGTGTGTGTGCACATTGTGTGTGCAGGAGCCCTCAGAGGTCAGAAGAGGCATCTGATCCCCTAGAACCGCAATACAGACTGTTGTCAGCTGCCAGGCGGTTGCTGGGAACTGCAGCAGGGTCCTCTGTGAGAGAAGCAAATGCCTTTACCTGCTGAATCATCTCTCCTGTTTTGAAACAGAGTCTCATGTAGCCCAGGCTGGGCTCAAATTACTATGTTGTCAAGAACGACCTTGGATTTCTGATCCTTCTGCCCCCAATTCTTGAGTGCTGAGATTACAGGCATGCTCAGTATATGCATGCATGCTAGGGATCACAGGCCTAACATATGTTAAGCTACCCACAGAGCACCTGCTCAGCATGCGTTCATGACTTCAAATGTTAAGAACAATGCAGCCGCCGGGCGGTAGTGGCGCATGCCTTTAATCCCAGCACTCAGGAGGCAGAGGCAGGTGGATCTCTGAGTTCGAAGCAAGCCTGGTCTACAAGAGCTAGTTCCAGGACAGGCTTCAAAGCTACAGAGAAACCCTGTCTCGGAAAAAAAAGAAAGGAAGGAAGGAAGGAAGGAAGAACAATACAGCCTACCTAGTGATGGTGGTACACACCTTTAATTCCAGCACTTGGGAGGCAGAGACAGGCAGATCTCTGTGAGTTCGAGGCCAGCCTAAAGAATGAGTTCTAGAACAGGCTCCAAAGCTAGAGAAACTATGTCTCAAAAAAAACAAAAACAAAAAACTAAAGAAGAATGTAGCTATGAAATAGGTGAGTCTTACAATGGGCAGGCACTAGAAAAGTTAGGTCTGACCACCTCGGTGTCTTTATTCAGGAGATACTGCCAGCAGAAGGGAGGGTTGTGGCTAAACAGGACCTGTGTCATGCCTGACCGGAGTGCCTTCTAGTGCCTCTTCCCCCTTCCACATGCACATCCCTAGTACTATGACCTTCCTCAATAGCAACTTGCTATCTTTGCAAGAAAGAAGCCATCTCTTTGAGTCCAATGACTCCTCGGAGACTCTGTCTGGAATGGACCTGGAAGGTTCCAGTTGCCCAGAGCCCTGAATGACCAGTGAGCTCCTTTCCCTTCCCATCCAACCATCCGAAAGTGGACAAACAGGCTCGGGGTCCTTCTTGCCTGACCTCCTACCTTCTGGATTTTAGGAACAGAGGAATAAGGGTCCCCCAGGCATGCCCCTAAAGAACCTCTCCATCTGGACCTATAGGTAGGCTTCAGGGAGGAATGGAAAACCCAGCCGTTAGGGGTAAGGTATTTTGGCAACTGTATGTCTCTATTGGAGGAACTTCAAAGTGACACACAATTCAGAAGAGAAGGCCAGAGGCCTGGGAGTAGTCAGCCTACTTCAAGGGGAGGGATTTGAGAGGGAGATCCTTAAACAGCAGTAGCCATCACTCCAGAGGCTACCTAAGGGCAAAAGAAATAGCCTGAATGATCTCACTAATCTCCATGTTGATTCAAGGTGGGGAGGCCTGGTTGGGAAGAGGATGGTTAGACTAAGGCAGACAGAAGCCTGAGAACACAGGGAAAAAGCCTGACACACCACTACCTTCATGAAGAAGGGAGTTTGGGGCTGGATAAGAACACGGGCTGCTCTTCCAAAGGCCCAGAGTTTGGTTTTCAGCACCCACGGCAGGCAGCTCACAAACACCTGTAACTATTGTTCCAGAAAGCTCTAACACCTCTGGTTTCCAAGGACACACGTGTTTATGTTTGTATAACCACACACAGGTATGCATACTTAAAGAAAATTTTTTAAGGAAGGGAATGGGGTAGCCACGGTCCAAATGCCAGGGGGTGGGCCACCTCCAGGCCACTGCTCTCCTCAGGAGGCTGAATCCTGTCCTACCCCAGGTGCAAATCTCACACTCTCTCTATGCCCCGGCTGAACACAGCAAGGCCTGTGCAGCCGTTCCTGTTCCTGCCCAGCCTAAGCCGGCCTCACTCACCTTTCTCACAGAGCCCTTTAGCGAAGAAGTTGCATACAGCTGAGTTGGACTCTGGAGAAGAGAACAGAGGAGAAGGTAGCTTCCCCAGAGCTGAGCACCCCACCAAGACACCTCAAGTTCCTCTTCAGCAAGTCCCACCAAAGCCTCCCACGGGCTTGGATCTGTGTGGGCCCCCTCCAGTATTCTTCCTGGCTACCACAATTGGGTTTTTGCTTTCCGGTGTTGTTTGCTTGGTTCTTTGTTTGTTTATGACACAAGGTCTGATTCTGTGGTCCAGGCTGGCCTGGAACTCATAGCAATCCCGTCTCAGCCTCGTGCTGGCTACAGTTTCTGCCATCCTAAGCAGCTGTCATTTGTCCCCTGTTGTGGTGACTGTGAACCAAAGGTACCCTCTTCCTAAGCCCTTTCCCCCCACACCACCCCGGTCTTCTGGAGCCAGCTTCTAAATTCCACTTATACTCAGGATATCTCTGAGACGGGAGGTGCAAGTGTTTGGGGGCAGCCAGGAAGCCCTGAAGCTGGCCAGGGAGAAGTTCGGAAATCTATCCTGGACCGTGAACCACCCAGAAGCCCTACGGGACAGACAGAAGGAAGTCAGGGAAGACAGCTTCAAGGACAGCAGGTGAACCAGGCCATTGCCACTCACTGTCCATGCCCTGGAAAGGCAGGAGCCCAGTCCCCTTCTGCAATTCCACATCCTGCTCGAAGGCGAATGTGAGCCCTTCCAGCCCCGCGATGATCTCCTCCATCTTAAGTCTCTCACTGGGATCGCTCCAAGTTGCTAGAGCCCCTACAGGTGGCTCCCATATAATCCATCAACACTTAAGGGGCCAGCCCCTAGCTGATGCTTGCCCCTAGCCTCTCCCCCAGGTCACCTCTTCATTCAGGGGACTAGTGGCTAGGTGACTGCATATGACTCTTTAACTGGGTTGACAGCTGTCTCAGCCCTCCTACCCAAGCAGGTGCAAGCACCCCAGGGCCCGACGCCCCCACACTGTTCCCACAATCCCCATCCTCAGGTGGGGAGGGATTGGCAGACTCACACCTGTTTATCTCTGTGTATCGCCAAACATAGCCAAACTGAGGCTCCCATTGTGCCTGTGGGGACACAGCCACAGGTGAGCAAGGGAGATGCTGGCTCTAACCTACCACAGAAGTGCTATCGACTGCCTGAGCCTCGGGTGGGGTGTGGCGTGGGACAGAGGAACGCTTTCTCCCTTAGGTCCCAGCCACTTTCCCTCTCACAAGGCCCTCAGAGCCTCTTTTCCAGACTGAATGACAAGCCCCAAGTGTGCTCTCTTCCTGGAAGAGCACTAAAGGAATGAAGTCCAGAAGAATCGGAAATAGTTGCGTGAAGGGCCCTTTGTTTACCCTGCAGGCAATCACAACTGTAAACTCGGCTGGCTGGCCGGTGGAACCAACCCAAGGCTGGTTTGGGGGGGGGGGGGGGGACCTCCCAGCTAGGAATCCACTGGGCCACCCCAGAGCCTCCCCTTCCCAGCCACCCCCAAAGTGCTTTGAAAATGAAATCTCCGTGCAGACGTTGTTTTATTATTATGATGCCAGCCCTGCCTTGCAGGGCTGAGGACATCTGAATTGGCTTTCTTAGGAACATTTTTAAAACTCTAATTAAACTAGGCTGTCCCCTTCCCTTGCTGGGTCCTGAACTGGCCTGGCCTTTCCTGGAACCACTGTTTACGGGACGCACTGGCCTTTGAGGACAACAGAACCAGAACCGGAGTGTTCTCCTCCCGGGACCCAGTAGGGAGAGGTAAGCAGTGCCCTGAGGCCTATGGCTAAGAGGACAAGATCCAGCCTGCCAGTTTTGTTTCCTGCGGTTGCCACACCTAGGTTTGTTGTTCTTTTGAACTCCAGATCTGAAAAGAAAACAGCTGGAGAGATAAGCCCACAGTGGGAATGGCGCGGGAGCTGGGTGAGGCTGGAGTAAGAGCTGCCTGGGATCACCCACACTGTCCTTGTCCATGCTGGGCACTGAAGGCAGAATGGCTACGGTGCTGTCTAGGTCTAGGGTCTAAGGGTCCCTGGGGAAGAATCCCTTGCATCTCTTGACCCTACCCCTAGGTATTGATTAGGTCCCAGGACTGTCACCTTGGGCTCATTTGAGAGAAGGTAGAACAGAGCAGGAAGTCAGGTGCCGTGAGGCCAAGAGCACAGTGCAGAGCAATGTCCTAAAGATGGTGGATCACTGCCCTCAACACTCTAGAGAGTAAGTGCTGGATGGAGTGGTGAGGGCAGGGAGAAGGGGGTGGAGAGCATGCTGGGAGAAAAGTCTAGACACGAAGGGTGATGGGGGTGGGTGGTGGGGGAATGTTCCAGAAGAGGAGCCAGAGCCTAAGACCCGAGGCAAAAAACAAACATTCAATGAAGGGGTACAGTGGATGGCAGGATAGAAAGGATGAAGGTAGTGGAGTCTTTTGCCACTTTGGTGGCTTGCTTTTTGTTTTGTGAGACAAGGTCTCTTTACATAGCCCTGACCAACCAGGAATCCAGGAGGTAGAACAGGCTACAAAGACCCTCTAGGCCTGCCCCTGCTGGGTTGAAAGGCAGGAGCTACCAGAGTTTTTATCACAAAGGTAGCCTCACCTCCCAATGACTCCCTGGAGAGGATGGATACCCTGGAGGATGGGCTGAGAGGAAAGGTGGGGAAGGGGGGATGTGAAAGTAGTAGTTGAAGACCTGGGATGTGGCCTGAGGTACTTTCTGGAACTCTGGCGCCCCAAAGTGAATGAAACCTCAGACCCTCATTTGAAACGCTTGCCCTGAGTGGAGCCCCGCTTCTCCTCTCTTAGGTTAAGGGGACATTCTAGTATCTGGTCTGCAGAGCACGCTCCTGAATGTCAAAGCATGGGCTCCCTCCCCTGGCCTTCTCATGGTTAGGGCAATACAAGAACGAGTCCTTCTGTAGTGGGCTGAACTGACCCCTACCTGGTCTACCGCCTTCTATCGTGGGCTTGGCCTTATTTGGAAACAGAGACTGCAGGCATAGGTAAGTTGCGGGTCTCAAGATAGAATCACCCTGGAATTTGGGTCTGTCTTCAACCCTATTAGTGGATACTCTTGTGTGAGGAGAGGAGTCAGGCATGGCACACACCTGTAATCCTGGTACAGAGATGCCAAAGCAGGAGCAAGAAGAGTTACAGACAACAGAAGAGTCTCGGGCAACACAGCGTCTATCTTAGAATACAGAGAAAGGAAAGAACGATTGGAGACATCCAGATCCTGAGGAGATGTGGGAAAGAAGGCCACATGAAGAGAGAAGTGGAGACCGGAGCCGTACTGTTACTCCAGGAAGTTAAGAACTGCAGGCAGTCATCACTTGGAAGCTATGAGAGTCAAACGTGGTCTCCTGAGGATCCAGAGGGACCTGGTATCGATCGCCGGACTTTGCACCTTTGACCTCAAGAGCATTAGAGAGCACACCCATCAGTAGCTTTCAGTCCCCTTCTTGTCACCTTCTGCAACAGCTGCCACAAATGTCATGCCACACCCCCTGGGGTGTTAGGCACCTCACCCCTTTCGCTGGTGAGCTAACAGCAGGCAGAAGAAAGGACCGAGGGTGTGGCTCAGTGATGGAAAACTTGCCCACTGTGCATGGCACCCTACATTCGATCTTCTGCAAAACACAGAAAGAAGCTGGACAAATGAAACTGAAGCAGGACACAAAAACAGGAAAGAACCCAACGTGGGGGCTCATGCCTGGAAGCTACGGAAGGAGAATTGCCATGATTGTGTGGCTAATCTAGGATGGCGGTTTGCATGAGGGTGGTGGTCCCCATTGGCTCACATATTTGGAATCACGGTCTCTCCCAGTTGGTGAAACTATTTGGGAAGGATTAGGAGGTATGACCTTGTTGGAGGAGGTGTGCCATTCCCAGTTAGCTAGGAGGCTTCCACTATCTGTGTCTCTATCTCTTGCAGATGAACTTTCTTTCTCAACAAGATCACCAGTTCACAAATAATGACACTGAGACTTACTAATTATGAAAGCTTGTCCTGGTGAGGTACACTGGCAGGTGATCCTATCTACAGAGGTTGGAATGTCAGGCATTTCCTTTGAATGGTCTGCTCTTGGGTGGGGGTCGGGTAATCTCAATTTGTGGTGTTTTCTGGCTGCCAGGTATTGCTTCAGGGTAAACTACTGAGACTCAGGCTTCTTATTTAAACTTATTGATGGTGGGGTGACACTGTAAGCATGGGGGAAATCTAGCTCCCCCAGCCCATTCTTTTATTTATTTATTTATTTATTTATTTATTTAGGATTTCTGCCTCCTCCCCGCAACCGCTTCCCATTTCCCTCCCCCTCCCCCGATCAAGTCCCCCTCCCTCTGGAACTCAGGACCACGAGGGGTGCACCCACACACTGAGACAATGGGGATGTTCTATCGGGAACTCACCAAGGCCAGCTGGCCTAGGTCTGAAAAAACATGGGATAAATCCGGACTCGCTGAACATAGCGGACAATGAGGAATACTGAGAACTCAAGAACAATCACAGTGGGTTTTTGATCCTACTGCACGTACTGGCTTTGGGGGAGCCTAGGCAGTTTGGATGCTCACCTTACTAGACCTGGATAGAGGTGTGCGGTCCTTGGGCTTCCCACAGGTCAGGGAACCCTGATTGCTCCCCAGCCCATTCTTGGGTGTGGGGGAAGGCAGGAGAATGCCCCTTCCTCCTGATCCCTTAGTGTGTATTGAGCTGTTTTTTCTTCAATGCTGGCAGGGGAGGGTGGGAACTGGTAGTGACTGAGTTCCCTGTTTCAACCTTTCATTGGGTACAAGATTTGAATGTTTGATTTTAGGTTTTATTTTTTTTACGAATGTCCAGATCTGTGTTTCTCCCTACCCTCCAAGACTGGCCAGTTGGAAGTGTCTAGTTTTTGTTCATCTCTCATTTTTGGTGCAGGGACTGATACCCTGCCACATCTATGCTCTGCATCCACGCCTCTTTTGGATATTAAAGGTCGATTGATGCAAAATAAATAAATAAATAAATTTATTGATGGCCAGAGTCCCAGGTGATAATGGTTGGAAGTAAAGAACTTCCTTTGGGTGACCTGCTCAGACTTAGATTATCACGGCTGGCCCCCACACCTAACCTCTTCCTGCCCTTTATTAAACTAATCAGTGACACATCTTCACAGAATGTAAAGAAATATTCCCGTATAATTTCCTCCTTTTTGTCTAAATAAAAAAGAAAGGTTTTAACTCTTAAAACTATAAATAATAAGAGCAATTATCAGGTAAGAATTACATTCACAATGTCCAGTCCATTTGTATTTGTCAAGTTCAGAGAAAATACTCTATTATCTGTCTTATCTTGGTGAATTTAAAGTTTTATACCCAAACCATTTCTGTCATAACTTATATTACCATCCTAAACTATCTTTGGAGACCTCAAAACATTTTCTTAGATAAACAATTTAAGTTTTTATGTCTCTCAACCTTATACATTTTATATCTCTTTTGTAAGTTTATTGTTTGAATTTGATAACAAAGAAAACTAAGTATTCTTATCTCATCTTCAGCTCCATCAGAGACCCGAGAAGGATACAATATTACCTAAGTAAACAAGAAGTACAGAGCAAGCAACTTACAAAGCTATAGAAATGATAGAAACAGCTGCCTGGACAGTCACCCAAGTTTCCTCTGCATCATTGAGGCATCCATCTTTGTCCTACAGGCCTAGAATATCCAACAGACTTTTCTGTGAAGCAGGAATATTTGAATGT